CCTGTGCCCTGTGCACCCCCCATGCTGTCCCGGGGCCTGGGCCACCGCCGCAGCGAAACCAGCCACATGAGCGTCAAACGCCTGCGGTGGGAGCAGGTGGAGAACTCCGAAGGCACCATCTGGGGTCAGGTAGGTGACCTGGGGCCCCAAGGTGCCCTGCACCAGGGGAGGGTGGCCTGGGCAGTGGCACTGAGAACAAGGCCCAGTCCAGCTTCTAGCCCCTGGCATTTTCCTGGTTCAGTTCCCCTGGCATCAGGAACCCAGGGCAGTTCTGGTGGACTCACTCCCTGCAAAGGACACCTCAAATCAGGGCCAGACCATCTGGGCCGAATCAAAGCCCCCTTGGTGGATGCAGCCCCTTTGCAGCCCCTTCACCCCCTTCACTCCCTTGCCTCCTTTGCCCCCTGCCCCGGCACACTGCTGGCCTCCGCGTGGAGGGTGTTCCAGGTGTGAATGTTTTCACAGCAGAGGAGCTGGCTCCCTCCTGGTAGCTGGGTGACTTGGCTTCTCCCACAGTCTGCTGTCCCTGGGTTTCTCCCAGGGCCTGGGGGGTGCTCCCTCATCCACTGAGGCCCAGCTGCCAGGGTTCCTCCTCCCTCAGAGCCTACCCCTCCCTTGCAGCTCGGGGAGGACTCTGACTATGACAAGCTCAGTGATATGGTGAAATACCTCGACCTGGAGCTCCACTTTGGCACCCAGAAACCTGCCAGTGAGTGGGCTGAGGGCCCCGAGAGACCCCACACACTGGGGTCACTGTGGCAACCCACCGGCTGCTTTCTGTGGCATCCCAGGGCTCAGACCACCAAGGTCTGCACTGACGTCCATTTCCTTACTGTGTCCCCAAGTTCACTTCTCAGGGCCTCAGTTTCCCCTCCTCAAAGCAGAGATGCTAACAACTAGCATTTATTGCATGCTGACCAAATGCCAGACACTCTCCTCCGTCATTTCCAAATTAATCCCGTGACACTGACAAGCTCCTGATCAGAAAGCCCAGAGAGAGGCTGGGTGGTCTGCTCGGCCACAGCCAGAATGGGGACAGGAGGCATCCACAGCACCCTCGGGGTCCCTGTCCCCGCACCCTCTCCGGGCAGCTCCCTATAGCTGTTGCGTGGGGCTCCAGGCAGCCAGGGAGTCTGTGTGTGGAGAGGGGTCCGGGGATGGAAGAGAGAGGCCCTTGTCCGTTGGCGAAGCATCTGCAGGGTCCAGGGTGGGGGGTTCCCCTCACCCAGCCAGCTCAGCCCCACCCGGCCAGGGGAGAGCGGATGGGAGAGGGGCATGCGCCACACGTGCTGAGTGTCCCTGAGTGGGGCCTGGACACCCAGAGCTGATTCAGCCAAGGCCACGGTCAGTGGGCATCTGGGCTGTTGGGGTGGCCACACCCCTCCCGGGCCCTCCGACGGCAGCCTCAGCCCAGGCTCCCTCGTGAAACCAACGGTGTCCCTTCCAGAGCCAGTGCCCAGGCCCGAGCCCTTCAGAAAGAAGGACGTGGTGGAGATCCTGTCCCACAAGAAGGCCTACAACACCTGTGAGGCCCGGGGAGCCCCGGGCGGGGGCGGGAGTGAGGTGTAGGCCCCGCGCCCCCAGACACACCTGCCCGCCACCCAGGCCCCACGTCCCGCCAGAGCCCACGGGGGTAGGTGCGGCGGCCCTTGGGTGCGCCCCCAGTTCTGGCCCCGCCTCCAGGCCCCTCCCCCGAGGAACGCTCTCGGTTCTGGGTCTGTCTCCTCGGAAAGCCTGTCCACGCGCTTTAATCGGTGCAGAGGGGACCCCCTCCACCTCTGGGCGGGCCCCGCCC